AGAAGCTTTAGATAGGAGCAGTCGGGCTATAAGGTGTCAGGAGCAGACACTATCTAAGGTTGTATCTAGTCTGAACCGAATTGAACGTTCTTTGGAAAGACGAATTGAAACCAGGAGGTCACCGGTACGTGATTCAACCAGGCATGAGCATGAAAGAGAAAAGGAAAATAAAAGACCAATTGAAGAGTACAGTAAGCAAATTAAATAAGAAATAAATATCATGAAGAGACTATTAATCTAATATTCTAAAAAAAGCAAGCGTTTATGACATGTTCCTTTTTTGAACCTGAACTCTAGTCTATGAAATATATTACTTGTGAATTAATTTTGAAACATGAAGTAAAATTGTGAAGACGACGACTGACTGAAATATATAAATATTATAATAAACCGTGTAAAGTGTGAAAATATTGAACTGCAAAATTGTTGTGATTTTTTTACGTATTATACAGCGTCATGCTCGTTTAACTTTAATCCAAACGTGTTATGTTTTATCCGGAATACTGTATCCGGTAACTGTATCTCACACAAATGTCCTGATTTAAGCATGTGAGTCTTTGTGAATTGTTATTCATTGTATGTACTTACTTTTATTGATTTATTTAAATAACTGTCAGCACTTTTATCCTTCTGAATTATTGCACAATTTACGATAATTTGTATTCAATTACCACGTTTCCTGCAAAGAAGTAGCCATTTTGTAGACATGCATTATGGGAGTGTTTACATGGTAACCGTTAGCAGCCGATATCGTTGTCGACTACACAATTTTTGAACACAACAAAAGTGCGAAATTGAATCTAATGGTACTGATTTTACTGTAATTTAATGTTTTATCTTTCTTTTTATATATTATAGCAAGGTTTCACATGTAAAAATGACTCAATGACCAATTTTCAGTATTTTGATCAATGTGACCAAATATTTTGGTCACTGTGACCAGACGAAAATGGTCACTGACCATTTCTCTTTGGTAAATGACTAAATTGGTCTGTTTTGACCATTTTTGTTGGTCAATTTTTCTTGATTTAGTATAACAGGGCCGACTTTGGTAATCTTGGTCAGAATCTGCTAGTAAATTGTACCATAAGCCTGTTGTGGTTGTCATGAGACGCTAACATGGAAAAAGCTCTTTACACTATTAATGTATGCAACATTAACTATTTTTAGAGGATTATTATATACAGATCTACATTTTAAAGATTTAAAAACACTTTTATCTATAGAAAGATCGTTTTAAGAAATACCAGAACTGGTCCAAACCGTATATTTACTGCTCTGAGATGTGTATATTTTTTGGAACATCTATAAAATCTACTTAACAAGCTAAATTAATAATAAGTCTTACGAATAGTTGATTTTGAGATACATTTAAGTACACTTGTGAATTGCTAGAGTTCTGAAAGGTGATACATATATGCTATATATTTGATGTGTGACATGATTATTTGCTGATAATTATATGATGCAACTGTGTTCAAATTCTTATTAAACTTATTAACTGTTCAATAAAGCGTTTATTGTGTGTTGAATAACTGAAAAAGAGTTTTACTTTATGTCGACCTATCCAATTAAGATCATTGAAAGAATTCAAGTCGATAAAAAGGCCCTGCCTAACCCTTAGGGATTACTACAGTTTGCGCGCTAAATAAGCCACCCTGACAGGTCTCCTCTAGCGCGCAACAATATGTAGAAAGCATCATAGTTCACTTCCTATGAATGTGATATAATAAATAACGACATTTGAAAGCCTATTCTAAATAAAATGTAAAACATTTATTGATAAAAGTGCAAAAGGAAAATTACCACAAAACTATTCAAAACTAAGCCAAATTACATCGTTTGTTCTTAAAAGTCTTGGTTATATAATTATGAGTCAAGTTCAAGTTAAATATGGTATGCTTAAATATTTTGTCAAAAGGGCTATTGTGACAATCCATATGAAAATTAAAAAAAGAAATATTAAAGTTTGCGGTTTTACATGTCCATACCACCAGGAAACAAATAATGACTGTAAAAACATCTCGGATTATTTCAAGACTGCGGTAGAATCTCGGATTATTTCATGACCGTGGTAAAAGCTCGCATTGTTTCATGGGAACAGTAGAACCTTTGATTATTTTATAACGGCATTAAAAGCTCGGATGTTTAATGACGCCAATAAAAGCTCCCATTGTTTCCTGACGGCAGTTAAAATTTAGATTGTCACAGGACGGAAGTAAAATTTCGGGTTGTTTCTAATCAGAAGTAATATCTCGTATATTTCAAGTAGTCAGTAATATCTCAGATTATTTAATAACTGTAGTTATACCTCGATTTATTTCATGACGGTAGTAATAGCTTGTACTGTTTCATAACGGCAGTAATTTCTCGGATAATTTCATGACAATATTATATTCCATGATGATTGTAATATGTTGGATTATTTCATGACTGCAGTTTTTATCTAAGATAATTTTATGAGTTCAATATTATATCTGATTGTTTCCTGACGACAGTATTTTCTCTGATTATTTCATGAATGTGGTAATATCTCAATTATTTCAAGCCGGAAGTAATATTTCGGATAAATTCATAAATTTAGTTATATCCCATTTTTTATTATCTCGGAATGTTTCATGACGTCAGTTTTAGCTCAGATTGCTTTTTTACGGCAGTATTATATCGGATTATTTCATGACTGTAGTTATATCCCGTTTATTTCATGACGGCAGTAATATCCCGGACTGTTTCATAACAATATATATATGTTAGAATATTTCATGACGACAGTAATATCCCGGACTGTTTCATAACAATATATATATGTTAGAATATTTCATGACGACAGTAATATCCCGGACTGTTTCATAACAATATATATATGTTAGAATATTTCATGACGACAGTAATATCCCGGACTGTTTCATAACAATATATATATGTTAGAATATTTCATGACGGCAGTAATATCCCGGACTGCTTCATAACAATATATATATGTTAGAATATTTCATGACGACAGTAATATTTGGATTATTTCATGAGTGCAATGTTTTCTCAGATTGTTTCTTGACGGCAGTATTATCTCGAATTATTTAATGAATGCAGTATAATCACGGATTATTTAATGAGTGCAAATTTCTAGCGGCCGTTTCATTCCGGATTTAAACATACTCGGATTATTTCATAACAACACTGATATATCGGATTATCTCACGACTGCAGTATTATGTTGGATTATTTCATGAGTGCAATAATATCTCGGATTGTTTTTATGGCAGTAATATCTCGGATTATGTCATGATTATTGTTTTATCCCTGATTGTTTCATAACTGAAGTATTATCTCGGATTGTTTCATGACTGTAGTAATATCTTGCATTGTTTCACTGCGGCTGTATTATCTCGGACTATTTCATGGAGACAGTATTATCTTTATTTTTGTTTTATGACGGCCGTATTATCTCAGTTTGTTTCTTGGTGACAGTATTGTCTCAGATTGCTTCATACCGGCATTTTTATCTCGGTATATTTCATGGCGGCAGAATTATCTTTATTTTTGTTTAATGACGGCAGTATTTTCTTGGATTGTTTCTTTGCGCATTATTATCTCGGATTGTTTTTATGAGGGAGTTTATAACCTTGTATTGTTTTATGATAGCAGTTTTATTTAATTAATGCAGTATAATCACGGATTCCGATAGTTGTAAAATCTTTATCTTTTTGATGATAGTAATAAAATCTCGTAATATGTCGTGATGGATTATTTCATGATATAAACAAAGGCCCTGACTTTTTCATGACAGTAATGCTAATTCGAAAAGCTTCATTCGAAATGTCGGATAAACAATTAAAAATATTCATGTTAACGGCAGTATTATCTTGTTTTTGTTCATGTGCGCAGTATTATCTCGAATTGTTTCATGAGACAAGTATTATCTTGGAATGCCTTATATCGGAATATTTCCATGACGTCAGTTTCAGATAAAATTGTTGTCTTTTTGGCTGAATTATCTAGGATCGTTTTATGACAGCAGTATTATCTCGGATGGTTTTATGAGGAATTTATTATTTCGGATTCTTTCATGACGGCAGTATCTCTGATTGTTTCATGCGGTAAGTATTATCTGGGATTGTTTTATGACGGCAGTAATATTATGAAATGTTTCATAGTGGCACTGTAATATCTGATTGTTTTATGAGGATGTATTATCTCGATTCTTTTCATAAAGGCATTCTAATTTCGGATTGTTTCAGGACTGCAGTAATATTTCGAATTGTTTTCGTGACAGTTGTTTAATCTCGGATTGCTTCATGACGGCAGCATTATCTCGGATTTTTTATTGACTGCAATAATATTCCAGATTGTTTCATGACTGCAGTATTATCTCGGATTGTTTCATAAAGGCAGTAATATATCGGATTGTTTCTTGACGGTAGTATAACTCGGATTTTTTTTCAAGCTTTAGTGTTTTTCTCGGATTGTTTCATGTTGGCAGTGTTATCTGGGATTGCTTATATATCAGTTATATCAGATTGTTTCATGACGTCAGTTTTAGTTTGAATTATTTTTATAGAAGTAGTAATATCTAAGCCTATTTGATGATTGCAATATAACCCTGGATAATGCCGTGATATTTTTTTGTTTATTTTCATTACATTGATAAAAGCCCGGAATTTTTCATGACAGTAATTATAGCACAATAAAAATATGCATCGGAAATGTAGGATAAAATATTTTTCAAAATATTCATGTTTAAGATATTCAAGTTTTAACCTTTTCCTGCACAGCTACAGTGAAGATATGCATCACACCGAATAAGTTGTTGTCTAGACAATATTAAAAGTTCGATTATAACATGCATTTTAATTATGATGATTGATTAAATAATTTTTAAGCTAAATTTGGACATAATTGCAATATTTTTAATATAAGTAGATATTTATATTGCCAATATATATATTTACCTTTATTTTTTCAAGGCCGGAATTTAAAAATTGCATCTCGAATATACTTACTTTATTTCGGAAATCCTTTAACCGACATATGTCTGCTTCTAATGTTAGATCGGTTGGTGCTGGTGTTGCCCCCCAGTCAAATTTGTTATTCAATCCAAAACATTTCAGGTTTCTAAGAAGACATATAATAAGCGTGATGTCCAAATCTGACGAAGTTGGGACATTACCGCCCGATGGAAACAAAACGTCATATTGGACCTGGGTTATAACGCCGCGGCTTTTCAAATGTTTTATTGTTGACTTTTCTTGATTCAAGCACGCACTGAACGTTATGCATTGAGATGTCAGGGACTGGTCCAGCATATTTCTCAATACCAGGAAGCCACCATCAATGACTAGTATTTGTAACCGAAACAAAAATATACGGTTGTCTAGCGTCTGTGGTTGACCTCCGGTTGCCATTTTGTTAACTTCTTGATTTGCTACATTTCTGTTATAGCCACATCTGTAAATAATGAACCGTGAAAGTTATTAGAATAATTAAACAATTGCTTTAAAACCTTCTTATGTTGTTATATCGGTGTTTTAAAAATAAAAAAAATCAAGAATTATTTTATAAATCAATTAAAATAAATATCTAGTAAAATAAAATAAAAACTAAATTGAATCTCACTTATTGTAGTCTAGGATAACTTTCAATTTTTTGGAAAAATAATGATGGTGACGTAAATATTGAAACATAGACGTCCGCATTTTCTTCTGTTATAAATATAACAATTAAAAGATCCTGTAACTCATATAATGTTTTATTATCATAAATATGACGCGCAATTGAAGTTTTATGAATATTGTAAGTTCCAAAAACAATATTTGTAAGGATATTACCGAATTTACATTTCTTGGAAATAAAGGGAAGTAATTAGAATTTTATTTTCCATAAAGTTTCAGCCAAATTTGTCAATAAAAAATGAATGCATACATTTAATGAATACTTATAATGCGTACAAACATTTACAGTACATATTTAACATTTTCTTGGATATTTGGAAATTGTTTTAGAAGATTAATTATATACATATATAAAAATTCACTAAAGATTTGTAACATCCTTAATTACAGCATACATCACCATAAACCATCTACATAAGTATTAAATTACAAAACAACATCAACAAAAACAGTACAGTGTCTCTTCAATTAAAATACTTAAACAGGGTAACTCACATTTAATTTGTTTAACTGTATAGTCGTAAATCTGATTTTCTTTTTGGTCTCGCACAGAAAACAAAAACTGAGGTTGAAGCGTTCGATTAAATGTATTATTGTTAATTTATGTTGACCGGCTGCCATTTAATGCAAACTATATGAAATAAACAAATTTCTTTTCAGCAAATACTTTAAAATACTCATAGATAGAATCTAAAACAAAGGTAAAACAAAATCTCATGAAGAATCGTCATTAGTTTGTTTTTGCGATATTTCTAAAGTAGCAGAATATCAAACAAGACTTAATGACGACCAATACTTTATAGCGTTTATTTAGCGACCAAGACTTCGTGACTTTTATTTTGAGGCAATACTTTATGACATTTAAGCAAGCATGACTTTATTGTTAATATGATTAAAACACACTCGAAAATAAAACATTGGTCTTCAGGTAGAACAATCTTGGTCAACTGATATCTAATAAGATTTCATCAATTATTATAGAGGTTAACTAGACGATGATATATACCAAACGCGTGACGTTTAAGCATTTCATTTAAAAACTAGACTCTGCGAGTCTGATGTGTCGCCTCGAGAACATTATAGTTTAGGAGAAATGGCTAGAACAAAAATGTATTATGAAAATAAACACAGGGCAATAACTCAAAAAATAAGATTTGCAGAACAGCGGTTCTGTGCACTGCATTGCTATCAATAAGATCTATCAACCTATGAAGTTTCAAGTCCATGGCTTTTATAATTTATGAGAAATGGCCTGGGCAAATATAAAGTATGAAAATTAAAAAAGGGTAATAACTCAAAAAAAAGAAATGCAGAGTACCGGTTCTTAGCCACTGCATTTTTTCTTAATGACATCTATCATCCTATGAAGTTTCAAGTTCATAGCTTTTATTTATTAAGAGAAATGACCCGGAGTATAAAAATAACAAAGGGCAATAACTAAAAAATTAAGAAGTGCAAAGTAATGGTTCTTGTGCACTGCACTTCGGGTCATTATAAGAAGCATGCATACCAAGTTTGAAGTCAATCCGACTAATGACTGACTTAAGCTCCGGACAAGCTTAAGGGGAAGCCGACACCGACGCCGGCAACGACACCGACAACAACAACGATCGAATTTGCAAAAAACAATATCTATGATCTAGCCTTTGTTATAATGTGTAAAACCGTTTTTTACAATAAACTGACCCAAATGCAGGGCAATTTTTAACCCAAGAAACATTATTGGACCAAATTTTGTTAAAGCAAGCAAGGTCACCGCAAAAGCAACAGCATTGTTTGAGTGAACTCAAATATTCTTTCATTTATTGGAGAAAACAAATGAACATCCATAGTGGTGATTTTTTAACTCTATCTTAACTAAGTGCATGAAAAATAAAACTTTAGTAGAGTTCTACTGGGCAATGGCACATGTCAACTATTCAGTAATTGTAGAATTACACATTTAGACTTAAGAATGGATTGATTAATATCATTCGTGTGGACGCCCACAGAGCAATACTACAGTCAAAATGTCTTAATCATATACATAAACTTGGTGTTGCACTAAAAATTTGGATAGGCTTTGGATAGTCTATGTTGTTTCATACTGTTTTGGTGACACTTTTGCTTGTGTCCCTTGTTGTTTTCCCGTCTACGGTAAGTATCTTCCCCATTGCCTCTAGTTTTTATTTCTTTGATTAACCCCCCCCCCCTTCCCCCGGTCTCCTGTCCCCTTCCCCTTTGTGGGCCTATTATTATTTTCTTTGAATTCCTAATCAGTTACAAATTATTTATCATTTAATGATTAACGTGTCGTTGCCCTGTCCTTTTTATGTTTGGGGTCCGCCTGGGCTCCTTGCCATTGGTTCTTGTTGCTGGGTCATGGGGGGGGGTTGCGTTCATTGAACGCCGCCTTTCCTTGTTGATCTTGTTTTTCATATTTTAAGTTGTTTTAACTAAACTTATAGCCACTTACTACCAAAATGGAATAACTGAAGTCTTTTTAAGCATTAGTGGCTTGTATCTGATTAGGCGAAACAAATTAGAGTACCTACACATGATTTTTCCATTTACAACGTATAATGCCAGTCCTTCATATGCTGACATGCTCATTTATTTGTCACAATATTATTTATCCATTACATTCATTACACGAGAGTCTAAAAAGACATAATGCAATTCAACTCATTTTGAAGGGCGCAGAAAGATTGATTATTTTTGGAATTAATGATTTGACGTTTCTTGACGCAAATAACTTAACATTACATGTGAAATCGCAGCGATTTCTTCATTTTATCTTACAAACTCCCGTGACTGATTCATTATGGGAAACATGCGTACAACAAGAAAATGAAATAGCATTTTTATGTGTCTTCTCACTGCAGTCACTGGTGTTGGTTTTGCGATTTTTGACTGGTTGTAAGCTAGCACTGTATAGTCGCTTAAACTATTCGTAATACACTATGTAAAGCAGGCTATCTTCACTTATTCAAAATTTATTTATTTATTCAAAATATGCCAGTCTGCATGAGTATTTGTTTTGTTTTAGAATTCTTAATACTATTGCAATCATATACACGTGACATAATTAGTCAACTGAACTGACCTAGTAAACATCATATTAAACATATAAAAGCACTTCAATACACAATAACGCTATTATATCTTATTTTATGATTTCTTTTTCGTTCAAAGTCTTAGCATTCTTTTACTTGGGGACCATACGCCGCTTTTCATGGAAAGCACTACTGTGTCACATTGAAGGTTCCATGACAACCGCCGTATAAACACATCTGCGGATGTCTCTAAATTCAAAATTTCACCATTTCGTGTTAAATGTTGAATTCTGCTTAAGCCGGTGCTAGGGGGCATGGACGGTAGTTTGCACTTGACAGTAACGTCCATGAACAGGCTCAATCAAACCGAGCATGCAACATTTTCAATTTTGTTGTGTTGGGCTTTCTTTAGGGATTCTGCTTTACTCTGTTTTAAATTATTGTCACATCCGTGTTATACGTGCCGTGTGGCGGCTGTAAAAAGTCTCCCCGTACATTTAATCAATGATGTTATATTTTTGATCCTTGAAGATCGTTCAGCACAACATTATTAGTGTGTAAACATGTCATGTGGTACTTTAAGTTTCTTCTTTTTGGCCATTTTCAACTTGGGAGGTTCCAGTATTCCTACTTGAATACTGTATAATCACCCTTAGGTTATGTTGCCTGCTTTTTTAAATTTGTCTTTTGACAGCTTATCTGTGATATGCAGGCTTCATAACTTCAGATCCCTCTTTCCAAATTCCATTTTACCTAGTTCCGCCCATTGTTTTCTCGTTTAGGGCAAAAGCATTCTTTTACTTGGGGACCATACGCCGCTTTTCATGGAATGGCACTACTGTGTCACATTGAAGGTTCCATGACAACCGCCGTATGAACATATCTGCGGATGTCTCTAAATTCAAAATTTCACAATTTCGTGTTAAATGTTGAATTCTGCTTAAGCCGGTGCTAGGGGGCGAGGACGGTAGTTTGCACTTGACAGTACCGTCCATGATCAGGCTCAATCAAACCGAGCCTGCAACATTTTCAATTTTGTTGTGTTGGGCTTTCTTTAGGGATTCTGCTTTACTCTATTTTCAAGAGATGATATTATATTTATGGTTTAGTTCTACCATAGAAATGTCAAAAAGCATGGGAAGTTTAAAGTGATTTTTAGGAGCTCAGAGATGATATGTCAAGGAGCGAAGATGACTCTTAAACTAAGAAGAATGTCAATAAGGAAAGGTGACAAAATACAGCCTTGAAACAACCAAATCACACTTCCATGGCACAAAGAATGTTACCGGGCCAAAACATTGGAGATGACACAAGGGCAGCAAAAGGAGAGACATTCCAAAAATTGTAACAGTTATCAACCAAAATGTCCGTATTGGGTACTAACGAGACAAGGATTGGCATCATAGAACGTGTCACAATTGATAGACATAAGTGACTGAGAGGAACACAAAGGTGGCCTTAGAACTATAAGAAGCAAATTCTAAACTGGTGAATTGCGACAAAAAAAAACTTGTTTTTAGCCCAAATATGTTCCTATATTGCGAGACAGTGTTAATAAAATTAATCAACGCCAAGTGTCCATTATAAATAACAAAAGCACAAAAATGATAACTTAAATACATATACAAAACGTTACAACACAATGACCATAAGAAAACTGCTCGATGCACTAAAAAAGGAGAGAAACAAGAAAACCAATTTGTTATTGCAGAAGTATATCAAT